AAGCAAAGTACAACCTCTTTTTACGGAAAAAAGATAAAAGTGGGGTATAAGTTTTAAGAGCTTTACTGTGATCAGCTAACCAAATATGGCCTACGTTAAACTTAAAATAAGTGAAGAAGCAAAAATTTAAATAAAACATTTTTTTTATAAATGGTAATGACCCGTAGATTGTCAGCTAACGGCAGCAGGACATAAACTAGAGCCGGTGCAAATGGTTACATCAATTATACAAACTAGACAATGCCATTTCCTAAGAAATAAAAATAGGATGATAACTAGCTTCTTTAAGAAACTAGTAAATAATTCAAATATATAGAATTATTTGGTAAATTAATATGCAATTGTTGAGTAAATATTCTTCATATAAGATGTTAGTAACACTACAAAATTAATGTAAAATGTCAAAAATACCAACCAAATACAAATACATCTTGATAGTAACCAGGAGATGGATACAAAATGATATTCAATCCAAATTAATATTACAAATGGAAAGATAAACAATATATGTTGCAATTCAGTACAACTAACATATAAGAGGAAGCATAATCAAATTTAAAAGTTTAACTAAATTGTAAGATAAAAGGTAAATTATGTTTACAATTTATTGTTAATTCAATTCCTTCAATTAATAAGGAATTGTTATTGAATCTGGTAATTTCCAATTTTTCATGTAAAAAGAGAAAACAAGGTTCATATAAATTTTTATATACCCATGCCATTTTATAATTTTCCATTTCACCATAGGAGTTTTATTATCATCATTAAACTCCAAAAATATTCAGAAAGTGATGCATTATAATTACTATTGGTGGAGTAGAAGATATGTTGATACCTCCTAGTCTTGAATGATTTCTTTGTACTACCAATATAGAATTTTTCAACAGCCGGATTCTCTATTGTAGAGATAGTACGAAGATAAACACACATTTATATAATATATAATCTGTATATCTATATCTAGCTACATCGCTCTCTCTCGCTCTCTATCTCTCACACACACACACACACACACACACACACACACACACACACACACACATATATATATATATATATATATATATATATATATATATATATATATATATATATTACAGTGTGTCACCTTTTGCAACGCCCGAGGAGTCACTTCATGTACAGGGTTACGTTTGAGGCCATTTATGTGTATAAGAAATGGAAGATGTCAGTTAACCTTATGTTTGAAGAGATTAAGATAGTTTGTGGTAAATATCGTTTTGAAGCCCATTTAAGTCAAAAATCTTTGTGACTTTTTCAGTTTAAGTCATTTGTGTGGTAAGGATGCCATTTTCATGCATGTGTTGTGGTAGAAATGGTAACTTGTTGGTAGGATGCATAGCCATAATCACTGCTTTCAGTGACTTGTGGATGCATTTAAGTCATGCATGTGTGTGTGGTAGAGTGCTAAATATAGCCATAATCACTGCTTTCTCAGTGACTTGCTGCATTTAAGTCATGCATGTGTTGTGGTAGAGGATGCATTTTGCTGGTAGGATGCATTTAAGTCATGCATGTGTTGTGGTAAGTCATGCATGTGTTGTGGTAGAGTGCTAAATATAGCCATAATCACTGCTTTCTCAGTGACTTGCTGGTAAGGATGCATTTAAGTCATGCATGTGTTGTGGTAAGTGCAAATGCCATGTCAGTGACTTGTCTGGTGGGTGTTGTGGTAGAGTGCTAAATCAGTGACTTGCCAAGTCATATGTGTTGTGTTAGAGTCAAATACATAGCTGCTTTCTCAGTGACTTGCTTGGTAAGGCATTTAAGCATGCATTAAGTCAAATGCATGTGTTCAGTGGTTGCTGGTAAGGATGCATTTAAGTCATGCATGTGTTGTGTGGTGGAGTGCTAAATATAGCCATAATCACTGCTTTCTCAGTGACTTGCTGGTAAGGATGCATTTAAGTCATGCATGTGTTGTGGTAGAGTGCTAAATATAGCCATAATCACTGCTTTCTCAGTGACTTGCTGGTATTTAAGATGCATGTTAAGTCATGCATGTTTCTCAGTGACTTGTGGTAGGATGCATTTAAGTAATGCATGTGTTGTGGTAGAAATATAGCCATAATCACTGCTTTCTCAGTGACTTGCATTTAAGTCATGCATGTGTTGTGGTAGAGTGCTAAATATAGCCATAATCACTGCTTTCTCAGTGACTTGCTGGTGTGTTGTGTTAAGGATGCATTTAAGTCATGCATGTGTTGTGGTAGAGTGCTAAATGCATAGCCATAATCAATCACTGCTTTCTCAGTGACTTGCTGGTAAGGATGCATTTAAGTCATGCATGTGTTGTGGTAGAGTGCTAAATATAGCCATAATCACTGCTTTCTCAGTGACTTGCTGGTAAGGATGCACTGCATGTTTGTGGTAGAGTGCTAGTGACTTGCTGGTAAGGATGCATTTAAGTCATGCATGTGTTGTGGTAGAGTGCTAAATATAGCCATAATCATGCTTTCTCAGTGACTTTGCTGATAAGGATGCATTTAAGTCATGCATGTCAGAGTGCTTTCTCAGTTTCTCAGTGACTTGCTGGTAAGGATGCATTTAAGTCATGCATGTGTTGTGGTAGAGTGCTAAATATAGCCATAATCACTGCTTTCTCAGTGACTTGCTGGTAAGGATGCATTTAAGTCATGCATGTGTTGTGGTAAGTAAATATAGCCATAATCACTGCTTTCTCAGTGACTTGCTGGTAAGGATGCATTTAAGTCATGCATGTGTTGTGGTAGAGTGCTAAATATAGCCATAATCACTGCTCTCAGTGACTTTCTCAGTGACTTGTTGTGTAGAGGATGCATTTAAGTCATTTAAGTCATGTGTTGTGGTAGAGTGCTAAATATAGCCATAATCAGCTTGCTGTTGGTAAGGATATTTAAGTCATGCATGTGTTGTGTGGAGTGCTAATCACTGCTTTCTCAGTGACTTGCTGGTAAGGATGCATTTAAGTCATGCATGTGTTGTGGTAGAGTGCTAAATATAGCCATAATCACTGCTTTCTCAGTGACTTGCTGGTAAGGATGCATTTAAGTCATGCATGTGTTGTGGTAGAGTGCTAAATATAGCCATAATCACTGCTTTCTCAGTGACTTGCTGCATTTAAGTCATGCAGGATGCAAGGATGCATTGTGTTGTGGTGAGAGTCATGCAGTGTTGTTGTAAGGATGCATTTAAAGTCATGCATGTGTTGTGGTAGTGCTAAATAGCCATAATCACTGCTTTCTCAGTGGTAAGGGATGCATTTAATCCATGTGTTGGGTAGATAAATATAGCCATAATCACTGCTTTCTCAGTGACTTGCTGGTAAGGATGCATTTAAGTCATGCATGTGTTGTGGTAGAGTGCTAAATATAGCCATAATCACTGCTTTCTCAGTGACTTGCTGGCATTTAAGGATGCATGTTAAGTCAAATATAGCCATAATCACTGTTTCTCAGTGACTTGGTAGAGTTTAAGTCATAAATATAGCCATAATCACTGCTTTCTCAGGATGCATTTAAGTCATGCATGTGTTGGGTAGAGTGCCAAATGCCATAATCACTGCTTTCTCAGTGACTTGCTGGTAAGGATGCATTTAAAATCCTGCTTTCTCAGTGATTGCTAAAAGCCATTTAATCACTGTGTTTCTCAGTGAAATATAGCCATAATCTTTTCTCAGCTGACTTGTAAGGATGCATTTAAGTCATGCATGTGTTGTTGTAGAGTGCTAAATATGCCATAATCACTGCTTTCTCAGTGATTGTTTAATATAAGAGCATGAGAGAAATATAGATAGAGCGTTAGTTCAAAATTCATATAGAAAATTTTTTTATCACTTAACTCATGTTTACTTCGGAATTTCGTGACTACATAATAAAATCACTCATCGGAACAAAAGTGAAAAAAAAATTTTCCGTTTTAATTAATTAATTAATTATATATATATATATATATATATATATATATATATATATATATATATAATATATATAAACACATTGATCTCAGAAGTTTATTGGTTAATAAAAATATTTTTTAATCTTTCTAGGGGAGGGAAATATTGGAAATCACTTCCAAGATTGAGCATTCAATTCTAGCAAACAATGAATATTGTCCTCTGCTTTTTCAAAGCTGGCATGGCATTTAAAATAATGTCGTTGATTGGTTAATAAATACTGACGTGAATATTTTAATTTTGAGCCTTTCTTTTGAACTAAAATATATCGATTTCCGCGACATCCGTTTTCTCGCAAAGAATCGAGGTTTTTAGTGATGTTTCTTAGTTCTAGTGTATTCTTCTATAATTTTTAACGGGGCTCTTCACACAAACATATTTTATATGAGTCAGACAGAGTGATGGAGTTAGAGTGTGAAGTATAATTGTTTGAATATAACGTTTTATACGTATGTTGGCTGCTGTTTGGTCTCGGTGTTTATCTCAGTACTTAACATCATTTAGCCGATTCCCTCTTACAAAAGATACCGTTTGTATTATTACCTAGAGCCTTTGTCCGCGTTTCTTTTTTTTTCGACTTTTTTTAAATGTCAAATCAGAAACACACACGCCTTCACAAGCACCAATTAATGTAAAAGCAGGCGATACATATTTTAATTGATTTTCTGTATTCTGCAATTTGCGCTCACACTGAAAATTTTATGGCTATTTTAAATTCCAACTGAATTGAGAAAAAAAAGTATTCATGAAAATTTGTCGGCATTAAAAATCGTGATAGACAATACAAAAAGAAAATGGCGGCAAGTTTGGCATTTAGTATAAGATCCAAACAAATTTAAAAATATAACATTTTTATTTTCTTAGTATTTCCTAATCGCCTCAGATTTGTTATCGTACGAGAATTAGTGTTTCAACGTGACATGATTGTAAGCTAAACATTTAAAATGTATATATTATATATGTATATTGGATTTTTCCCTATACAGAGATTTTCAGAAGAGATGTGTCTTGTAAACATCTCTTGTAAACATCTCTACGTATCTCATCATTATTGCTCCACACCCTTCTGCAATATTACCCTGTCCACATGTGTAAGTGAGTGGCGGATGATCCAGCAGATAAAAGAGATGAATGGAGTGATGAAAACGTTCACTCTCCGACGCCTGTCACCGCTTGATTTACCAATGAGAGAATTTGATGGTATCGGCTTTCCAGGCCGATCTCAGAATTGAAAATCGCTTGAAAACTGTACCATATTTTCTCTGGGGATATTGTTCTACATAGTTACGGTTCTCGGGGAGAAGTTGTCTGAGTAGAATTTGATTTTTAATCAAATGAAGACGAAAGGAATGGGGATTCTTTGCCACCGTGAACACACATGTTGGTGCCTAGCTGTGAAACTCCCAGCTGGTGGCACAATAGTAATATGGTTTGGTTTGGTCTCTTTTACGGCATATCAACCTCAATTGGTTATTTAATGCCGACAACATTTTTAGGATAGATTCGTATGAATAGAATATGTATTCTTTGGTTTAGATTGGTTTGGTTTATTTTGTTTTACGGCATATCAACCTCAATGGGTTATTTAATGCCGACAACATTTTTAGGATAGATTCGTATGAATAGAATATGTATTCTTTGGTTTAGTTTGGTTTGGTTTATTTTGTTTTACGGCATATCAACCTCAATGGGTTATTTAATGCCGACAACATTTTTAGGATAGATTCGTATGAATAGAATATGTATTCTTTGGTTTAGTTTGGTTTGGTTTATTTTGTTTTACGGCATATCAACCTCAATGGGTTATTTAATGCCGGCAACATTTTTATTGCTGGTAATATGTTATTCTTCAAAAAGCTATTTCTGGGAATATTTTCCTTGAAGAAATCTATAGCTGGTAATATTTTTTTTCAAAGAATGTATAACTGGATTGCTAGCACTTTTTTTTTAAAGAAATGTTGATAATAATTCTTCCTTCAAAAATTATTGCTGGTAATATTCTTTTTTATTACAAAGTATTTCTAGTATTAAAACCTAGTTGTACACAAGTTTGGGTGTCAACTATTTGCCCATAGCTGGGACCCTAACAGCTGCTACCACTCCGTGTCAGAGTGGACCTGAGAATACCTAGGAATTAACAGGTGGTTCCACGCTTCTCAAAACCTCCTGATCAGAGCCCTGGACGTGGATGTAGATTATCGTCATACTCAGGACAGAATAGGAATATGGTAGTGAAAGACTGGTGAAGTTTTGTCTGAGTGATAAGGAGTGCAGAATAATCCATCACCCACAAGGCCGCTTATTGTTAACAATAACATTGAAAGAAATTCAAACAATTTTGAATATTAAAAAAGTCTGAGTAAGACATACAAGATTCGTAAATTATCCTAAATTTGTAAATGAAGCTCTTTTTTTTAATCATTTCAAACCAAGCAAGGCGATAATTTCACTAAGACGCAAGGGGGTTACAGTGAGTGAAATAGAATAAGAAACTTTTAGTGAGAGAAAATGACAGAGTAACAGGATTCAGGAAGACAAGATGGCGAGTGACTTTGCATTTAATTTCTGAAGATTGTTGGTGGTAGTGAAGCAAGAAATAGGAAAGAAGTTCCACAGGCGAGAATTGCGAGAAAAAACTATAAAAATAAAAAAGACGGTTGAATCAAGCTATTTCAACAGTACGACTGTTGCGTATCTAGTAGCACGCTTAAATTCATGCAATCGAGGCACTGAGGAGGAGAACAACTCAACAGAACATTTGCCATGAAAATATTTGTAGAAAAGACAGAGGGAAGCCACGCCATGTCGGTGAGAACGTGACTGAAATAGAGATGCCAAGCCAGGAAATGGTGAGCGAAATTCGGCGAAAAGAGTATCTCTCCTGAGTTTTAGCAACAGACATGCGGATGGTTGACAGAAAAAGGTTCTGTGGTGATTATATGGTAGATTAATGGATAGCGGCTCGATTGAGGAATCAGAGAATCGAGTTCGAATTCCAGTCGAATCCATTACATTCACTTACGTCCTAATACCCTTGGAAAAAGTATGAATCCCCCCCCCCGCCAAGCTATGGGTAAGTAGCAGGACAGACCGAGTTCTATAGCATTGGATGGCATCTGGTCTACCGCAGAATGAAATGGCAACCTACTGCGGGGGAAAAATGTAGTTTGAAAAAAAAAAAATTACCTCATGGACGTCCGTACGTAAAAAGAATTTCGTGGAGAAGCCATATTGTTTTTATGCTGACAAATTAACGCAAAATCACGGCGACCACGAGATTTGAGAAAATATAAATATGCAGTGTACGAAAGACAGGGGAGGGCGAGAAAAGGAAGTATCATTCTATAGAAGATCTGTAGCCTGAAGTCTCCTCATCAACTATGAGGAGATTGTCCTGTATTCAATAATGGAGAAGAGGATTGATATTACATAGCACTATTTTTATAACAAAATTATTTTTCTGTTTCTTAATACTTTAGCATTTAGGTGTCAACATTTGCTATTCCGGTGCTACTTCGGATTTCGGTGTCACATTTTCGTACTCTTTTAAAAACATAACCAACTGGGAAATCATTAAGAGTTCCTCATCTTTCCTCATTTTATTTACTGTCCATATTAATTTCAGAATCTTTATAGAAACGCCTTTAACACTTTATCCTTTATAACAGTAGGTAAAAAAAGGTAGCCCTATTTACATTATTCGGACTACTGTCCTCATCTTTGTCGCCATATATATTACACCGTTTCGGTCGTTGTACGCTCCGGCCTTCTTCAGGAAGTTGGAATGTCGAACTGAACCCTTTATTTCGTTTACTGAGGTAGACTGTTCTAGTTCCACGTGCCATGTTTTAATGGATGTCAGTTATCAGTTATCTCCTGTTAATTCCCCCTCTCCAAGTTCTCCACTGCCTTAACCTGGCATTGAACTCTTTGAGCCCTGCTACTGGATCTAACTAACGCCTTTACCAACTGTGCCATGTGCCCTTGATAAAGTCGTTAGTTAGATCCAGTGACAGGACCCAAAGAGTGTGAGCTCAATACCCGGTTAAGGCAATGGAAAACTTGGAGAGGGGAATTAACAGATGACTGACAACTGATATAAAACATGGCACGTGGAACTAGAACAGTCTATCCCAGTGAGCGAAACAAAGGGAACAGTTCGACATTTCAACAACCTGAAGAAGGCCGGGGCGCACAACGACCGAAACGTTGTAATAAATATGGCGCCAAAGATGAGGATAATAGTCCGAATAATGTAAATAGTGTACATAATACCTCATATCAGAAATATAGACAAAAACGGTAGCATCCGCCAACAAAAGTAGATTTCAGACTAATAGAAGATTTATTCATGCCTTTCGACGATTCTTACAATGTTCACATAATGAATTTTCCACTTTATCTTTGGCATATACGAATGGCCGACAGCATATGAATTTATATCGATATGAAATAAAACTGAATGGATTAAATATGGTTTTGAACGTGGGTAAATGAAAAAGCAGAAACCCAAACAACGGAAGAATTGAAAGGACACAAAATAGCAAAACACAGAAGTGAACCGGTTTACATTTCTATCGATTTAATCTAAAGTTTTAAGATTTGTATAAATTAATCAGACAATATTTTATAGTAACACATTACTTTATTCTTCTAAAATCAAACAAACAAAACTACATAGCCGTAGGCTAAATTTTAAAATAGTGAACTCACTTGAATCCAGGATAATTTGCAATTTATCATTTAAAAGATTTCTTCGATAATTAATTGATTTCTTTTTGAAGACAACTTCAATTAATTTTTCCTCGACGGTATGTTTGAAATTGTAAAGAAAAGAGAAAAAAAAAGAGATAAAAGAAAGTAATAAAACTTTCCCGCCATTCACACTTTTGCCCTCTTTCTGTTTCAACGCATTTATTCCACCGCACGACGACAAAAATGCTTCGCCGAATTCAATTCGGTGTTATAGCGGGTAAAATGTAAGTTTCAATAAATATCAACCGTGACATATGTCGGTTTCATTATTATTATTGTATTTCAAATATTCGAATAGGATGCATACCGGGTATGTAAAGACACACACACACACACACACACACACGCGCATATATATATATATATATATATATATATATATATATATATATATATATATATATATATATATATATATTACTGCGTGCCAAATTATTATCGAGATAATTTTTTTCTAATATCTCAAATTCTAGGGTAGATTTACCTTTTGAGAGTTCTGAGGTGATAGTTTTCTTTTCAGCATCACTTAAACTGCTTTTACGGCCCATCTTTTCACTAAATTCTTACATTGTTCTAATAATTTAGCACGCTCAAATCATCGTGCTGATAACAAATATGGCGCCAGTTTGTTTACAATGCGCAGATCATTACGAAAATTTGAGTGATTGCGCAGGTCAGTGATGCCAACATTGTGTGAATTAATTGGACGGTTTTTGAAATATTAGAAAAAAGTTATCTCGATAATAATTTGGCACGCAGTGTATATATATTATATGCGCAGTGGTACTTATTAGAAAGCGCCCAATATAAATATATATATATATATATATATATATATATATATATATATATATATATATATATATATATATATATATATATATATATAGATATATCATATATATATATATATCATATATATATTATTTATTTATATATATATACATATAATATTTTCATGTACATATATATATATATATATTCATATATATGAATATAATATATATATAGAATATATATTTTCATATATATGAATATACAATATATATGATATATAGAATATATATTTTCACATATATGAAAATAAGATATATTTTTTGTACATCCTATATAGACTCTAACAGCATTAAGATTCTCAGTCTATGAAATATTGCATTGCATTGATAAACTATGGCTTTTATACGGCTTTTGTTATTCAGAGGACAATTTTCAGGCGTTTTATAGTTAAATAATTTTTCTTTATTTTTGTTTAGTCTTAGTTTAGGATCTATTTTCTTTGATTTTGGTATGAGTATTTATTCATGATTTTGGCATTATGTTTTCTTGATAATCATTTCTAAGTTCTTAACACAACTGTAACTTATTTTTAAGGTATTTTTTATTATAGTCTTGCTGAGTTTCCTATTTCAACGAAAATGTTTTTCGATTAATGTAAAGAATTTTTGTTCTAGTTTACTGAATGGGGT